AGATGCTCGCGGACCTATGTCTGTGTCTGGAAAAATTCAAATTCCAGGAGGTGGAGTGGGTGCTCGACCGCCACCACCGCCACCACCGCCACAAGGCCGTCAGCATCACTTTTAGTGGTTCTTCAGAGGAGGTTGATGTTCATCAGTGCCTGCGCCAGCTGGCTTCCTTCGATGCGAGGCTGCGTTGCTGCGCCGATTGTGCCTTGTGAGCACTGTAGCCCTGACTGATTTCTCCCCGCTAACTGGCCATCAGACTCGTGATCGGTAGCTGGTGGGTTATTATCATAGAAAAGAAAAAAAAAAGAAAAAAACAAAAAAAGAAAACAAAAACAAAATAAACCCAACAACGGCCACACCTATTAAAATATTCTTTGACTTGATCATCAAATTCGACTGCTAATTTGACAACTCAGAACATACGCTAGTATCCCACACCACTAATCATGACCTTGAACACATCCTGCCTGCCCTGCCGCACAACTCTAGACTTATCCCCTAACAGTAACCGAACACTACTCCGTAATGTATGCTCACATATCACCACCAGATAGCCCAACTCCAACCCCAACAATTGGAGCTGGACGCACCGCCACTGCTTGGCACCGGGATCGGAACGCAAGACGGGCTCCACCTGCCTAATCCAGTGTGCCGGAGCGAGCGAACGGCCGGGAATGACTCCCGCCGATGATTCACGTGGGGGTGGGAAAGATAAGATCCCAAAGTATACATACCAGCTCAAGCCTCACTCTTCACCACCCCACTACATTCACCTCCAAACTCGTCATCATGGTAACTACGCACTCATCCTCCAATTCAATCTCAACTAACAACTCAATTGCAGACCACCGAAGCCCTCTATCTAGACGACGCCACCCTCACCACCACCACCACGACCCTCACCTCCTACCGCCCCATCTCCGCCCTCAGCGACCCCGAAAAGACCCTGGCCAAGAACATCCCGACGGAGGACCACTATGCCCTCACCACCCGCCAAACCGTCTTCTACCCGCAAGGCGGCGGCCAACCCAGCGACACGGGCGTGATCCAGCTCCCGAGCACCCCCAACGCCACCTTCGAAGTCCTCCTCGTGCGCAAGACCCCCGACGGCGAGATCCTGCACTTCGGACACTTCACCACCCCGGCATTCCCGCTCTCCCTCGCCTCCAACGCCCTCGCCACGCAGACCATCAACGCCGTCACCCGCAACTACCACTCGCGGCTGCACACGGCGGGCCACATCATCGGGCTCGCGATGCGCCTGCTCGCCCCGGCGCTCGGGGAGCGCAAGAAGGTGAAGGCCAACCACGCGCCGCGCGAGGCGTGCATGGAATTCGAGGGCCTTTTGTACAACGAGCACCGGCCGCTGATCGAGGGGAAGGTCAACGAGCTGGTGCGGCGGGCGCTGCCGGTGCACATCTCCTGGTGGGAGGAGCGGGAGATTGCCGCGAAAGAGCTGAATATGGTCGAGGGGTTGCAGGTGGGGCAAGGAGGGAAGGTGCGGATCGCAGAGATTGCGGATCTGGATGCCAACCCCTGTGGGGGCACGCATGTGGCGCATACCGGGTTGACGGGGTATATTACGATCCGGAAGGTGAGTCGGCAGAAGGGGGTGACGAAGTTGTCGTATGAGGTGCCGGTGGAGGTTTGAGTGGTCGCTAGGGCTGTAGTTATAGATGTGGGCGGAGGAGTTTATATGTATAGAGGTTTATCACAGAATTCCATGATCGTATATGATAATACACAGCACATAGACTTGTCTTGTTGACACTGCTGGCATTTCCAGAACTACTAGTCAGAATCCCTCAAAGTTGAAGTTCGATACTTGTTGAGATATTAACATAGATCTCGAACTAGTATCACGAGTAGAAATCCGATATAATGCTAGGAGTTATAACGAAAAGAATTGAATCACGATTTTCCGGTGGAAGACATGAATGCCATACAGTGTTAAGATTTTCATAATTCTAGTACGCATCATAAGCAAATCTTGATTTGTGCATATCAATATTAGTATCAGTTGTACAGTGGGTGTTGAATTTATGAATGTGTCCACACAGGTGTAATACTTACTCAAAGTATGTCTATCGCAATTAACCGACACAGTAGTAGATAATCGCGCATAGTATCGTACCTGGCTCGGTTCCTGCAGCAGAGGCACCAACATGATGTAATGCGTAAGGCTGCGGCGTGGCGTTGCGACTGCATCCCCAATGTTGAGCCAGACCGAGTGCACGTGGGCAGACTATGACCCGTCTGAGGCATAGCTACCACGACTCGACCTGATGCTAACGAAATGGTCTCTTAGAACTGCAGGCATGATGCAGGGACTGTCGTCTCCAAGCACAAGCATCCGCCCAGCGAATAGCCAAGGCGTCAGAAGGATCAAGGTGTCTTGGCTGGAACGCTGAAAGAACATATGGCTGGCACCAAGCTTTGGCTAAGAAACTTCCAAGGTGCTTGTTTCCAGAGATTGCAAAAGTATACGAGGTGACACCACACCGGTGTGACTTCAACCCTAGCAAGAGAATAAAAAAATGAGACCTTCACCAGGAATTCGATGAATTATTATCTCAGGTGTGTACCGTGCCTTGATTCAGCTCTTTTACGTCGCCACACCCAGATAGCAGCAGCAGCAGCAGCAGCAGCAGCGACGACAACGACAACGAAAGATGAGGAGGAAATCAGACGGGAACGGCTTCATTGACTAACACCCAAACAAGTCTAGCGACAGCATCGGAGATACACCGTGCAAGACCCACTCCCCTCCTCAGTTGACCAATGGACCAGCAATGCGATAACACGCCTTGGCTTCCCCGCGTGTGATTGGGATCTTCCGTCGGCCGCCGCCGGGGCTGACACCATGTCACTCTTCGTATCTTTTGCGTCTCGAGACCTGGGAAAATACCTCGAGGCACTTGGTGCTTATCACCGGTCCGACAGCGGAGGGGAATGTCGCTTCACTTTGGGAAATTGAGCACGTGGGCAGTCTTCTGTCTCTGTCAGTGGTCGATATGCGCTCTTTTTCCATCGTCGGAGATGAGATCGACCGGCTCAGACGGTCATTGCAGCTCCCCGCGATGAGGGGAGCGATCGCCGGCTGGAGGCTATATAAGGGCCTACATCTCGCAACTCAAGCTGCAAGACACAGAAGTAGGCTTCAGATCATCGCCGTATTTAGAAGACCAGCACTTGTCTCTCCATTCACTCCCTTCTCTGTCCTTTCTCACAATCCTCCTCATGCCCTCCTCCTCGTCTCTCCTCCGGACCGCCTGTGCCCTAGGTCTGGCTACCGGAGCGTCCGCCTTCTCCTACCCCGCCGCCATCCCCCAGTCCACCCAAGAGAAGCAGTTCTCTCAAGAGTTTCGCGATGGCTACAGCATCCTGAAGCACTACGGCGGCAACGGCCCCTACTCGGAGCGAGAGTCCTACGGCATCGCCCGGGACCCGCCCACTGGCTGCGCCGTCGACCAAGTCATCATGGTCAAGCGACACGGCGAGCGGTACCCTTCACCCAGCGCTGGCGCGGGCATCGAGGCCACCCTGGACAAGGTGTACTCGGCCAACATCTCGGAGTGGAAGGGAGATCTCGCCTTCCTGCAGGACTGGACCTACTACGTGCCCAACGAATGCTACTACAACGCCGAGACGAGCAGCGGGCCGTACGCGGGCCTGCTAGACGCATACACGCACGGCAACGAGTACCGGGCCCGCTACGGCCACCTCTGGGACGGCGAGTCGGTGCAGCCCTTCTGGAGCAGTGGCTACAGCCGCGTCCTCAACACCGCGCGCAAGTTCGGCGAGGGATTCTTCGGCTACAACTACTCCACCAACGCCGCCCTCAACATCATCTCCGAGTCCGAGACCCTGGGCGCCGATAGCCTCACCCCCAGCTGCGACGTCGACAACGACGACTCGGTCTGCAATAACCTCGTCTACGTGATGCCGCAGTTCAAGGTGGCAGCTGCGCGGCTGAACGCGCAGAACCCGGGCCTGAGCCTCAACGAGACGGATGTCTACCATTTGATGAGTATGTCCTGCTACCACCTTCGTTGAATATCAGCTGACCACCGCAGCCATGGCTTCCTTCGAGCTCAACGCCCGCCCCTACTCCGACTGGATCAATGCCTTTACCCAAGACGAATGGGTCAGTTTCGGGTACCTCGCAGACCTAGACTACTACTACTGCGCTGGGTAGTCCCCCCTGCCGTTGCCGTTCATGAATGAGCCTCAACCCTAACATCAATGCAGACCCGGCGACAAGAACATGGCCGCCGTAGGAGCCGTCTACGTCAACGCCAGTTTGACGCTGCTGAACGAAGGCCCGGAGAAAGCCGGCTCCCTCTTCTTCAACTTGTAAGCCTTTCCTGCGCCTGCTCCAAGTCAAATGCACTGACCCCACAATAGCGCCCACGACACCAACATCACCCCCATCCTCGCCGCACTAGGTGTGCTCATCCCCGACGCCGACCTCCCCCTCGACCACATCCCGTTCGGCAACCCGTACCGCATCGGCAACATCATCCCGATGGGCGGCCACCTGACCATCGAGCGGCTCAGCTGCAACGCGACCGCCGCGACGGAGGAGGACACCTACGTGCGCCTGGTGCTGAACGAGGCCGTCCTGCCGTTCAACGACTGCCAGTCCGGGCCGGGGTACACGTGCTCGCTGGCCAACTTCACCTCGATCCTGAGCGAGAGTCTGCCGGACTACGCGTCGACCTGCCAGGTGCCCAGCTCGTACCCGCAGTACCTGGATTTCTGGTGGAACTACAACACGACCACGGGGTTGAACTACCGGACGACGCCAATCGGGTGTCAGGAGGGGGAGAGTTTGGAGTAGACTATGGATATGGAATAGGTAGTCACTAGTGTGGTGATGCTGGGGGCTAACGAACGAGCCTTCCCACCTCCAATTTTACGTTCTGCGATTACGCTGCACAGAGCCAATACCATAGATGAGGCATGAATCATTAATATTGAACCAAAACACACGTGCAAGGTCAAACCCTCCGCTCCGTCTCCGTGACATAGAACGACTTCTGCACCCTGACCATCCTCTCGCTGCCCACCACATCCGTGCCCCACTGGCCCCCGCCCACCGCGCCCCCCACCGTATTCTCATACTGGAACCCCATCCCCGTCAGACTCTCCTGACTATCACTCTTCCCTCTCTCCCTGCCCCTCCCAGCTCCCAGATCACCAACCCCACCACCACCACCACCACCACCACCGACGACAGTCGCCATCGCCATCGCCGTCGCCGACCGCTCCACCCCGTGCACATCCGGCCGCCACGCCGCATCCACCAACTCGACCTCGAGATCTTGGTCCTTCTCCGTGCGGGAGCGCGAGAAGCTCGAGAACGGGAAGCTGCCGCGGGACCGGGAACGGGGCTTGCGGCCGGTGCCGCCGCTGCGGGTGGTGTACGTGTAGGCGTAGGGAGCTTTGGGGGTGGACGAGGCCCCGTGGTCCAGGAACTTGCGGAGCAGGGGCCGCAGAGTCACCAGGCTGCCGGCCGTGATGCCTAGGCCGAGTTCCAGGAAGGACCAGAGGTCGATTTGGTAGGTCGAGTCTTGGGGGGGTTAGCTTAGCTTTACCTCTAAGCGAGTGAAGGGGGGGCGTAGCGTACATAGAAAGTCCAGGTCCTTGTAACTTGGTAGGAAGGGGATGCGGATGATTAGAGCCAGACATGCACTATACTTGTTAGTATTTTGTTGCACGGTTCAAGAGGGCGAGGGTTGGTGAAGCGGCAAGGGGGAGGCACATACACGCAACCCATACTCAACGTCGCGCCCAGCGCGATCTTCGTCCGCGGGTTGATCTGCAGCTTGCGCACCAGCAGTATCGGCAGCAGGCCCAACGCCAGGTCGCACGCCGCGCAGATACTGCTGTACACGTAGGCGACGGCCAGCAGCACCGAGGTGTCCAGACACTGGCCCCGGCCGGTGCGCTCCCAGAACTCCGAGACCGGGTGGCATTGCAGCACCATGAAGAACCAGAAGACCAGCCCCACCGTCACCGAGGCGCAGATGGCCGTCCACAGGATGATCCGGTGGGATTGGCGCACCGTCAGGCGGAGCAGGGCGAGCGCGATCGACACCTTGGCCACGCCTGAGGCCCACATGTAGATGAGTTGGCCGAGCCACCACCACTATTTTCTGGTCAGTATCCTCCGAGATGGTGGCAAGGACAGGAAGGGGGCGTACAAGCATGGCGCGGTGCAGGTCGTCCATACTCCGGAAGTCGGTCAATTTGCGACCGATGCCTTCCTTGGCGCCGACGATGGCGCAGACCGTCAGGAATATGTTCAATAACTACGGATGGTCAGCTTGGCAGCCCGGTAGTGGAAGTGAGCGCCGGAGATGCCTACCGTAGCAATCACCATCAACCCGTCGTCCCATCCGAACGCCTTGATCAGTCGCAGTCGCACGTACGAGCGCAGGCACACGGTGATGAACGACACGGACATGCACACGACGGCGACGATCAGGATCTCTTTGCTGCGCCCTTCGACGGGCATCATCTTGGCGGTGGTTCGGACGATCCCTTCACTCTTGCATCAGACTGGGGTGGGGAATTGTGTGGTGGAATGCGTGTCGCCTCGGGTCGGATGGGTTAGCTGCGATACGTGCTGCGGGAACGGCCAAAGACTTTTATATGAAGCAGCGACGTAAAGCACATGTCCGGTCGAGGAGACGCGACTCGCAGAGTGGAGGGGTGAGACGAAGGCGCACGCTGCAGAACCTTAACTCGAATATACTTCTCGTAGGGGGACGGGGTAGGTTCAAGGAGAGTCGCGAATCGAGTCAATGCGTGAGTGTGGTGGCAGCACTACCGAGAGTCGGGTCCTGCCCAATGGCGGTAGTCGAAAAGCAGTGACTGGATCTGATACACAGGAGAAACCGCGACTGCTGACGGGCGGGCGATGCGGACGGCGGCAGTGTACTTAAATGACTCTCACGGGGAGGGGTGGCAGGGATGCGCGGTGTTTTGGGCTTCGAGAAGGACCCAGTCTCGCGCTTCGGCTATCAGTCTGTCTGGGCAGAATACGAGCTGGCCATGGTTCTCCCGGCCCAGGGAGCGGATTGGCGAGGGGGATCGGCCATGGTGAACTGACTCGAGAGGGGGCAACACTCCACGGTTCATCGCAGGATCGAAACTACCGGACTAGTGTTCTCTGGGTGAGCACGGGGCTGGAAACGCGTGGGTAAGTTCCAAGATTCAGGAACCACGATGGCGATATTGGTTCCTGTGGGGCAGTCGACGGGCGTCGAGCTGATCAGCAGGAGCTCCGGCTCCAGGTGAATGGCAGATCCGCTAAGAATATCCCGAGAGTGTATCAGAAACTGCCGCGACACGAGGTTATTCTGTTGACGGGGTTGACATTGACGATGTGTTCCGATTCTCAATCGCAAGGCGGTGGTTTGGAAACCTCCCAATTGCATCTGGCCCAGATCGATCGCGAAACTTCCGATCAGAATTGCAGTTAATCTCGAGAGGACATCGCCAAGGCATCTGGCTGATCGAGCTGAGCAGCGGCGATGGCCGGAGCCCCTGCGGCCTCGGAGGCTGGAACCGACCTCCCTAAAGCGGATAGCTGCGGAGTGCCCTAACCCGACCCTTGACTCGCTGGCCTCGCCTACCGACTGTCTCTAATCCCAGTCCAGCATAGACTGGCCTGCAAGCGATGAAGCCGGCCTGGCATCTGGAGCCGAGACTGCTCTCGCTGGACCATTTATCCACCCGCGCCCTGGCGATGGTGGGAAAGACCTACGCAGATACTACTATGTATATACAGCGACGCACCTGCCACCGTGTGGTCTGGCCAGGGAGATGGGTGAGATTTCATTTCCCAGGTGCAGTGCAAAAGGGCCGGCTCCAACTTTATTTTGTCTTAGGGCGAGTAGGTAGTTCGGAGAATCAAGATGTTGGGACGATCTTGTACTGCGATTGCAAGGCCAGCCACAAAGCCATCGCCTGATCGCCCAGCAACAATAATTCCGGTCGCTACCAGAGTTGAGCGAACCAGCCGGCCGGGAGAATGATCCAGGAAGAGCTTCTGCCCTCATGAGAATCAGGACATTGGGACAGAATGGCCTGATGCATGCGTTAATGTTCAAAATAGATTTTTCGATCTTCCCGCAAAATTGGGTTCGTTGTTGGAGAGGGGCCAGATATGTCTCAAATCTCGTGCAGCTCTCCTCTTGAGGTTAAAAGAGATATTTCGGTTTCACCCACTTTACTTTTATCTTCAGTATCTGACTCAAGCCAACTTCATCTCCAATGGCAATGAATGTGCTGGCGGCGGCAGACTGACCAGGGTGAAAACTGACGAGGGGCAATCCCAGTCCGGGTTGTTTGTTCCACTTTGAGGCAAAGCCCCGAGAATGAATCGCTAGCGGGTCGCCTGCGGCACGTGGTCGGCTACGCGATGGTAATCAGATCGATTCAACAACAAACTAATAATCAGGAAAAGGGGAGCAGTCTGGGGGATCTCTTCTCATCATCCACCCGAGTCACTTCTGCCTTGGATTGTGGGTGCCATTGCGCCCGAATGAAGACAAGAAGACACCCACCAAATCCCGGTACCGTGGTTCAGCGGGCGAGGTTCCGCTAGTTTGGGACAAAAAAAGAAAAAAAGAAAAGAAAAGAACATGGAAGGCGGGAGATAAACAAAGAACGGTCGACGGAAGGGAGGAGAAATTATGGGCCGCGAATAAAGTGCAGCCGCGCGGATTCGAACCGTGAACCTCTGTGTGAGTTGTCGATCTCCGCATTCAATCCACCGTATCTAATGCTCTCCAGCCTTTTCTTCTCGTTGAGCACGCAGCGCCTAACTATACCCTGCACGTCTCCTCCAGTCTATCTTATTATGTGACTTTGGGTAATAATATGTCGAGCTATGCACATGCTATGGTATACACTGTGAGGTTGCTGTATAGCTACGGCATCCAGGCTAGAAGACAATATCACGCTTACTGCACTATCATCATTCACCTTCAGCCGTCTGCGACCGGGGACACATACTGGTCGCCTAGCAGCTGCTTCAATAACCAATTCTACCCTGCGACTGATCGATGAAAGCAAAGTTACACCGATTAAGCATGCGAGAACTGGACACTACCATGGAACAATTCATCGCGACCGCGGTCAAGACCCGTGACACGAGCCTCGACAGCTCTGTAGGGCATCCGACGGCAAGCCTGCTTTGTCTACCCCGAACATACCTAGGATTGTTCTATGGCTATGGCTGTCGATCAGGCCGGAATCGCCAGCACAGCCCGCTCAGCCGCAGTGGGGGAGACACAAGGCTGACAGCTTGACATGGCCGGTGACTGCGACCTGCAGGGAGGCTCGTATTGTCGCAAACCAACCGCAGAGATCCTTCAGCCACGCTGCGCCTCGATGAGGGTGTTGGTCCGCAACCTGGCCGTGCCAGATGCCTTATATGCTCCTCGACTGCCTCTCAACCCTTACCCTCTGGCATCACTCGCAGCAAATATCCCTCCCAACCAGCACTATCCCGGCCACCACAATGACCACCAACATGGCCCCCGCCGCCCTCAACGTCCTCTACTACTTCCAGAAACAAGAGCTGAAGCTCGACTTCAACTCCCCCGACCGTGCGCAAGCCTACCAGAACCTGAACCGAGAAGGTCGCATCTACGCGACGGAGCCGACAGCCGTGTACCTGCCGCTCACCCCCTCGATGGCCTACCTGCGCGACAGCCACAACGGACTAGTGATCGGGTTCACCACGGGCGCAGAAGCCAACCGATGGTGTCAGACAGCCGTGCTGGGCCGGCTGCATTGTCCCAGCATTCCGCATGAGGTGCGCATTCGGCGCGCCTGGACCGACGAGGCCCTGGACCAGCAGCTCCAGATGCAGCAGTTTCCGCTCTTCATGCCGGCGCAGGGAGAGGCGCCGCCCTCCCCGCCCCCATCCGCGCACTCCACCACCACCAGCAGTACCAAGCGACAACCGCTGACCCCAGGCTCACCCCCTCACGCACCGCCGACATGGAGCCCGGAGGCACCACCTACTCAGCCGGCCAAGCCAAATAGTCAAACAGGGAGCTATCGGGGCACCAGACAGACCATGTCGATGCAGCTTCCACCGTCGACCGCCGCGCAACTACCCGGGCCGATGTCTTCACAGCTCCTGCCCGCCCCGTTGACCATCGGGACACAGGAGCGCCCACCGGCAACGCAGGGGATTGAACGACGCCCACGAGCGAGCAGCTTCTACTAAACCCGATCATTGTGTTTCTGGTCTTGTCTTTCAAGCAAAGCATCCTGAGCATGTACCGCATAGCGAGGAGTTAACAATGGAATTGTACTTGATTTGTGTTACAATCGTGCTATGCTAGGCAATCATACACTGCATGCCCTAATCCCGGTCAATTTCTCTCCGGCCAGGCGTTATAGAGCCCCTCCGACACGGAGACATTCTTGAACTGCACCTCGCCCTCGCCGTTGTGGAAGAAGCGGATCTGGGTGGAGTTGTCGTACCACGATCGCGCCCAGGTGCTCAACGCAAAGCGCCCGTTGGCATACACCTCGACAACCGCGTTATCCACGACGACAGTGAGATCCAACGTCTCGACCTTCTCCTGGCCGTTGTCGACCACGTCGAACAACCGCAACTTGCCGGACTCAGTAAAGCTATCCAGCCCGGGGTTCGTGGGCGCCGCCGCACTGGTCTGGCTGCGGTCGACGACCAGCGACTCATTGCTGAACTGGTAGTAGACGGCCGTGCGCTCCAGCTCCGACGCCAGGATCTCGAACCCGGACTGGAGCGGGGACGAGCGCGCGCTCGCGGGGAACTCCAGCTGGGCCGTCAGCACGAAGAACTTGGAGCCCGGCGACTGCGCGAACGGCACGACGGCCGCCGTCTGCAGCGTGCGGTCCTCCTCCGCGGTCACCGAGCCGTTGGCCAGCAGCGCCGCCTTGGTCTCCCGGGCGATCGTGATCCCCAGCGTGCGCAGCGTGGCCGTCTGGTTGTTCGACTCCCCCACCACCCACGACACGCCCTCCTCGCGCACCAGCTCGTTGTCGACGACGTCCTCCACTGTCTGCACCTTCAGCTCGCGCGGCAGCAGCAGCGACCCCGTCCACCCCTGCTGGGCCGTGGGGAACCCGTCCGCCTGCTCGTACTGGTCGCCCGTCAACCAGACGAACGAGACATACCGATCCACCTCCACGCCGCTGGTCTTCGACACGGCCGAGCTGGCCGGCAGCACCTTGCCCGCCGCAGCGTAGGCGCTGAACCCCCAGTCCAGAAACCCGGCCATGGAGGGGGAGAACTCGACCTTGGCACCCGCCTGCTCACTGCCCACCCCGACATCACCCGCCGCCCACAGCATATCGTGGATACTGGAGACCTGCGGCACGATGGGCAGGCCCGACCCCTCCGTGCCGAGGGTGACGAACACCTCGCCCGTCTTGGGGTCATGGCCCTCCTCGGTGAGGAAGAGCACATTCCCCGTCTCGAAGTTGAACCCCCAGCGCCCGGCCCAGGTGCCCTCGTCGCCCCAGCTGGAGTTGGTCGCCTCCTGCCACCACTCCCCGAGGTACTCCCAGTACTGGAACTCGGAAGCGTTGCCGCCGTTCTGGCGGTAGAGGAACTGCGCGGGCCCGACGCCGTGCACCCCGCCCGAGACCGCGACGTACCAGGGGGCGTTCTTCTCGGTCCAGCCATCGACGGCCTGCTGCACGGCCGTCTCATTCCGCGCCACCTCCTCATCCAACGACAGCAGCACGTCCAACCTGGCACTGCGGAAGACAAACGGATCGCGGAAGGCGGTGACATCGACGGCGAAGGGGTGGTCGGCGATGACGGGGCCCTGGTCGAGCTTCTCGAAGCGGCGGCCGCCGTCGCGCGCGACGGCCAGCGACTGCGTCTCGCTGCCGCGGGTGTAGGGGATGGACCAGTGGATGGGCAGGAAGGAGACGGAGGTGTATAGTAAGGTGGGGGTGTTGTTGACGCCGACGGGGATGACGGCGCCGTCGAACACGGCGACGGGGTCGTTCTTCCCGCCCGGCTGGATCAGGAAGCTCCCGTTCTCGGAGGTGTCGGTGTAGGTGGCCAGGTTGGCCGTGCTGGCGCCCGCGATACCGTCCCCGTCGTGCAGGAACCCCACGTGGAAGAGGCCGGTGGATGGGTCGGTGTAGTGCGCGCAGGGGTCGCCGATCTGGCCCTCGGCGGGCAGGATGTGCGCGCGCGGCCGCCACACGTGGAAGAGGGTGTTGTTGGGGAGGGTGCTGAGGTTGCTCGGCGGCGGGGCCGTGGTGTCCAGGTGGTATGAGGCTTCTGCTGCTGCTGCGCCGGTGGCGAGCGCCAGCGTGGTAGTGGTGAGCTTCATTGTGATGCTCCTGGGTTGGATGGCTTCGAGGAGAGTCTTGCCACCGGGGAGATGGGGCGCTTTATATGTCGCTTGCGCGCTTGCTTGCGCTGCTGCTGCTACTTCCGTGATGTCCTGCTCAGAGCAGACCCTTGTGCATCGTCATACGATGAATCTCCATGGATTCTCCGCGATTTCGGCGAAATCCCGCACTGCCAGGGTTGCGGGGTGAAGGGCGCGGAGGATATCGCCGAGGTTTTGCCTGGGGTTTCGCCGACGGCGAGCTCTCGGCTGTCGATCTGGGTTGAATGGGGTTAGAGTCTGGGGGGGGGGAGTTGGAAGAAGGGCAGGTAGACGAGGTGGAAGGTGGATGGGAACTTGATTGTTTTGTTTTCATCGCGTAAGTGCTGGGTGGTGGCCTAACAAGGGGTGGGTTGGGTTGGGATGGGAGTTTACGGGCCGAGGAATGTACGGAGTATGTAAATTACTGTACGCTCTCCGGATGCGGAGGCCGATCACCAACTGGCAATATGGAGGTGCTCGCACAGCCCTAAATCGACTCAGCCAGCACACTGAATTATGCTTCATGACGAGAGTGATAATGACATGACACCCCCGGCGGGTTCGAGAGTGCAACTCAATGTCAACCGGTAGCATGGTCTGTCATTGATCTTACGTCTTGGTTCGTAGTCGAATGGGGACCGAACGGGGTTCCTCACTGCTATAGCCATGTGGTGTATGCGCGGAGGAATAATTGGTGGTGGGATTTCAAAAGGTTGTCAAGCTTTTTAACTGTGTATTGTATTCCTTCTGGGCACCTTTTTCTGGTTTGTTGTGCGGCCCTGGTGGCACAAAGGTGCGTAGTCATAGAATATTTACTGGTTGGTCCCGCGTGATATATAAGACTATCACGACATCAGTATACCACAATTGATCTTATCAGATAAGCATGAAAGTCACTGCATTAGATCACAAGAAGGGAGACCATACTCTGTTTGACCTTTCGTTCACCTGAAATAAGGAATTGTTGATATTTACTGCAGGGCCAGGATTCTGCACTCTTTCTCACGCTTTGGGGCATATTACCGCAAATAAGCACGGGGCATGGCAAACTTGGTGTCCGGTCAGATAACATTATATCCTGCCAGTATCACGTGCACTGGGGCAATGGCGCATCTGGGAGCGCGTCAGACTGAAGATCTGGAGGTGGCCGGTTCAAGCCCGGCTTGCCCCAACACTTTTTGCTGTTTCTTTTGGCCCTTTTCCGGTCTTTGCCTGGTGGGTCGACTCCGTACTTGATGGTGGGTTTGTAGACAGTATGCTCCAATGGCAGACAAACTCAAGTCCGGCCGGAGGAGACGATGGCGAGCGGTGAGGGAATTCAAAGCCTCGGGCAATAAGAAGTCGCCCGGGGCGGAAGGACGGAGTTGGACAGACCCTTTGCAGCATATTATGTGGATCGAATTTATATACCCAGGACATATGATATAGTCTTACACCCAGACTATATATACTGTATGATGACGATGATCATTCTTCTGACATACAATTGAATGAAAATATTATTAATATGCTATGTGATATATATATCATTTGCGAGGCTGTTACACCCAGTGATAAGAAGATATATATCTACCGCAACTGGGTGGTACGCCTTGAACCATGCGATGAAGCAATAGCATCTTCAAGAGATATGGAGACTAAAAGAAAGAATATTACATCAACATTGGGACGATGGCGCATCTGGGAGCGCGTCAGACTGAAGTACCAACTTCGGCCATTAATCTGAAGGTGGCCGGTTCAAGCCCGGCTCGTCCCATTCTCTTTTTCTTTTTTTGAAAATTTTTCGTCCATATCGCAGCAGGTCGTGTGGGGCTGATCAATTCCACCCACATGTGGGGCGCCGCAAGAACGAGTATTTGAGCCCTCAGTCGGATTTCAAGGCTACTAGATTAGAAAGAGCTATACTGCCACAATGGCATGTTTTTTATTGTTGTATATAGATAGTAGTAGAGACACATAATCTAAAGAGCGACTAGGGCAGACAGACCTAAGATGATCTGCATGCACGAATGCTAGAGAATGCCAAAAGAGTGACCAGTGCCGAAGCACTCAAAACTTCAGGTTCTAACCCCCAAAAAGGGTGGAACTAGCAAACATCATAATTCCCCTCGTCAGCCCCATGGGCACCACCAGCAACGATAACACCAGTTCGGCCGGCACCATGGCCACCACTGGCATGACCACTGGCATGACCACCGCCGCCATGACCGCCACCGCCGCCGCCTGCGCCGCCACCACCACCACCCTTACGCTTCTCCTTATCCTTGCCCTTGTCCTTGCCCTTATCCTTGTCATCCTTATCCTTCTGCTTCCGCGCATAGCACGCATCCGCATGGCCCTTGTCCTCCCCATGGTCGTCATAGTACCGCACCGCCCCTTTGCACTTGAAGTTCTTGTCGACGATCACGAACTCGCGCCCGGTCACATCGGCCTTGCCGTCGTAGACGCCGTCGGCCACGAGCGGGAACTGGAACAGTCCGTCGGGCTTCTTGAACAGATCGCTGGCGCGGCGGTCCAGGGGCTTGGGGAACTCGGCATAGTCGTGCGGGTGCTCCTCCTTGGCCTCGTGGATGCGCTTGGCCTGCTTGACGGCGGCCTTGACGTGGTCGCGGGTGAAGACGTGGTCGTGGCAGACGATCTCCACGTTGGTGTCCTTCTCGCGGGGGGTGATGGTGAGATGGGTTAGGTCGGGCAGGGGGTTGCCGGTCGTGGCATTAGGGCTGAGGGCCGAGGCAGAGTCCTCGGGGAGCGGGGTGGAGGGGCGGGAGGGGAGCGGGGAGCCGCTGGCGCCCATGAGGAGGCCGAGGCCTCCCAGGAGGACGACTTCGGGGTGGAAGTGCATTGTGGTGTTTGGTGTTGGGTTGGTGTAGGTTGTACGAGTGAAGTTCTAGCTTGATTGAAGCTTGCTTCGGGTGTACTGATGTTGGTGGGGG